ACAGCGACCCCATGCGGGCCGCCGTCTCCACCGAGTCAGCCCTGGGCCCCCGAGGACCCCTCGGCTTGCCCTTATCAGAGCGCGGCTTCTCTTGCTGGTGGCCTCGAGCTGCGCCGCTTCGGCCAGGATCCCCTTCTTCAGCAGATCGCCGTGACAGGACTCAATCCTTCCCGCGCATAGGAGCACAAGATCCGTGCCGTCTCGAACCTTCATCTGTGCCAGTTCGTGAAGCGCCGCCGACCGTGTCCTCCAGAGTCGATCGGCCTTGTCGTCGAGGAACGCGTCGGCGGTCTCAAGAACGCGACCCTCACTGGTGCGCATCTCCCTCGCCGGCGTGGCCCAGTCGACTCCGTGCCGCGTCTCGCGGCAGCGCGCGCCGAGGCAGCATCACCCTGACCCTACCCCACATTGCATACGCCGCCCGGAGTGCCTCCGTGGCGCAGGCGCACCCTCCATGGTGCCCCCTGCGATCGAAGCACGTGCGCTCCCTGGCCCTCCCAGTCGTGAAGGGCGTCGCGGGCTCAGGGTGTCTGCCGGATCTACTGAGATCCACCCGAAGATGCCCAGCGGGAGCCCGGCCTCCCTGGCCGACGACTCTAACTCTCCCGAGGGCGAGGTTCGGGGAGGGGCCGCCCTCTCACGTCATGACGGTTACAACTGCTGTTAACGGTCGCGACGTGGTCAATATGTCGTGACAGCGGCTGCGAAACGACAGCAGCAACGACGGCAGCAACGATAGCTGGTGACAGCTGGTGGCAGCTGGTGACAGCTGGTGACACGCTGGTGACAGCCAGCTGCCAGGGAAGAGTGAAAGGCACCCAGGAGGAAGAGTGACAGCCATAGTGACAGTGACAGTGAAGCCAGTGAACGCCAGCGACAGGCGGTGACAATGTCAGCGCGGGACCCCGCGAGTGACAGCGACAGCGACAGCGACAGCGACAGCGACAGCGACAGCGACAGCGAGGCAGCGCCAGCGCCACAGAGCACATCGAGGCAGCCATAGCTCCCTAGTGCACAGGCACCAGCGAAGGGGTCCAACCGCCCACCCACCCATCTGTGCATTAATACCCCATGGACTAAAATAAGACACCGGTGTGCGTGGATGTAGCTCTGCACCGCAGCGTTTGTACGTCTCACACATTTTGCAAAACTCCTGCTCCTCTACCTCAGTGCTCAGAATTTCTCTGTGTAGGGCGAGCCTGCTTTCTTGTAGCAGAGCCGAGCTGTCTACATGAGAGTTCCTGATCAACGCCGCTTGTGGCTCGGCAATGGCCAAGAGGTTCAATACCCGAGGTGCTCAGTGCTCTGCGCGTTTGCTTGCGATCGTGGATTTCAAGATCCCCAATCCTCGCGATTGATGATTGACGCCGTTCGCTCGCGTGATATTTTCGAGCGGCAGATGAACCAGCGCTGGAGCCCATCACGGCACATGCTGGAGGAAGGAGGGCAAGGGTTTTGCAGATTCTGCGACTCACGCCCTCTGCTGCTGACCCCTGACCGTGCGTGGCTACTGTTGAGAGGGTTTCTCATGTGGCGTCGGCGTGCGAGTGAGCGGTCGCGCGCGCATGCGTGTATGTCTTGAGTGTCCTGTCTCTCTCGTTAGTGACACCACATCCCATTGTGACACTGTCCTGCGGGGGTGCTCATGACAGCAGCAATAACAGCAGCAATGACAGCAGCAACGACAGCAGCAACGACAGCTGCTGACACAGCTGCTGACAGCTGGTGACAGAGCTGGTGACAGCTGGTGACAGGTAGGTGTCACTGTCGCTGTCGTTTGCTGTCATGACAGCTCCCAGCTGTCGTGACAGCGGCTAACGGTCGTGACAGCGGCTAACCGTCATGACGTGAACTCTCCGTAGTCTCTTAGGTGAAGGATGGCAGCACTTGGCTCCTTCGACACCGCCAAACAGGCGGCCACCGCCTACGCCCACTCATCTGCCCAGAGCGGTGGTGAGGCCGATTGCCTCAACTGTCAACCAGCGGGTTGACAGAGGTCTCAACCATCAACCAAGTGGTTGACAGACCCCTTCAACCTTCAACCACGCGGAATGGCTGTTCACACACACCCCGCGCAAAGGTCTGAACAGTTAACATTCTCGGTGAACATTCATGTCGTCTTCTTTAGATGCTGCATTTGACGTGCCGTTTTTACGAGTACTTGCTTCAGCTACACGTGCGTGGATGGGAGAGGTGTGATGCCAAGCCCAGACGAGGAACGCTCTGACAAGCCATCCGCGAAGGCCCCCGCACGGGGGGTCCCGGCCGACGTCATGGTCGTCCGGACGCGGCCCTCCGTACACGGAAATAGCTTACCGCAGACATTACCGAACGCAAAACTGCTTACCAAAGGCAGATACGAGCTCAGCTCAGTGAAATCTAGCAGCACATACCCTCAGTATCCATAATAGTTAAGTCTGAAAAAGTCGGTCCGACCGCACAGAGCGGTCTGGCTGTCTGCAGAGGCCAGAGCTTCCGTCCGGGCCCTGAGAAATGTCGGAGGCATGTCGGCCCATGTTCGCGATTTTGATGGCGTTGCCCTTATTGCACGTGAAACAGACTGCACCGGCCACGCCACGCACCCTTCGCTTGTTCCCGGAGGCCAACTCGAACAGGTTTGAGCAATGGCCGCCTTCCATATCCATGCTCGACACGTCCGCCCGCCATCAAGTTGTACGTTGAGTGGCAACATGCAGCAGGAACTTAGTTGCCTCGAAGGCCGCCCTGCTCAAAGGCCGCCCTGCTCTCGGCATTGTGTTGTTGACTGATAGCACTGTCTGATCCAACCAGAAAGAGCCGTCGAAGAGCCGTCGAGCTACATGAGAAAGTCGTCGTGATGTACCAGGAAACGAAACTAGCGCCAAAATTGAGATCTCAGGATTGACATTAATTTCTCGCGCCTGCTTTCGCTGCTTGAGGCTCGCCAAACAGATCCTGCGTCTATGGCCGTGTGCAACGTCAAGTCGTTAACCGCGACAAGACCATCGCGCCAACCGCGACTCTGTTGCTTTTATGCGGCAGCATTCACCGTGACTCTTGCCGTGGATGGTTAGTGACCGCAATACTACGCCGTGAGCTGAGCTTCACCAGCCGCTCTTCCTTCCCTTGCCTTCTCTTGCCGTCCGTTCTCTGTGCGCATTCCACTGCATGCGGCATCACAAGCGTCTTCTGCCGGGCGCGCATCTGAACTCGTACCTGGTAGGCCATCGCTTTGCTGAAAGATCAGGCGCCTGAATGGCGACAGTGAGCGTCTCCTGCTTATGGATTGCGCTCGAGGTCCGAGGAGCGCAAGAGCGCGCCGCAGGCGAAGCGATTTTTGGCGGCAGAGCTCTTCCAGTTTATCTTAATAGTGATCAATCACGGCGCGAGCCTGCGAATAGGCCCCGGAGGCCTCAACCCCCAACGAAAGGGTTGACGGGGGGTCTCAACCGTCAACCAGATTTCAGGGGGGCCCTCAACCCTCAACCCCTCAACCACCGCTCTGGGCCCTCGGAGTACGAGCGGCCGCTGTTTATGGGCAAAAGAAACCGCGGCATTCCAGCTCCGCCTGGTGGGCCAGACCCGCCATTGCCGCGATGGCATGTGGCAGCTCCGTCGACGAGTTTGTGCATTACCGCGGCGAGCTGCAAAACGTGCGCTGGGAGGAGTCGCCGCTCGCCGGAAGCGCTCGCTGGACCGCGCTCCGCGCAGTCGCGGGCGGTGGTGCGCCTGCGCCGGCTGGCGCCAGTGGTGGTGGGTTTAGTTGCGGGTGGGACGACGTGGACGACGGTCCCGCGGAGGACGATCCGTCGTGGCACGCCTTTGACGAGCTGCGAGACGCGGAGGAGACCTCCGGCAAGCCCGGCGCGGGCGGCCGCAAGCTCACTCGGAAGGAGCGCGAGAAGAAGCGGGATGAGGAGCAGCTGCGCGAGGCGCGCGAGTCGATCCGCAAGCGCGGGTGGACGGAGAACGAGGTCAAGTGGCGCTCCTGGCTCGCGCGGCGCGGCCACGACGTGATGGTCAACGACTGGAACCTCTACCGCCACATCGACGGCGAGTGCACTCCGCCCTCACGCGACCCGTTCTGGCTCAACGCAAACGACAAGCCGCTCCCCGACTACGAGGCGGGCAACGACGGTCCGAACGAGGAGGCGGAGCCGCCGATGACCAACCTGATGGGCGAGGTGATCAAGCCCAAGTACGAGCCGCCGCGCATCCGCACCCTGCCGGCGCTCTGGTCGGACGTCGACGGCGCGCGGCTCGCGGAGGAGTGCCTTGGCCGGAAGGCGGAGGCGTACTGCTGGCGGCAGACGACCTCGATGGTGTACCTCGAGGTGCGGGTGCCCGAGGGCACGCCCGCGCGCGACCTCCGCGTCGAGATGCGGCCCTCGCACCTCCGCGTGTCTGTCGGCTCTGCGGCGCCGCTGCTCGACGAAGAGCTGCACATGCGCATCTACGTGGGCTCGAACGCGGACGACCAGTCCTCGGTGTGGGAGCTGCAGGACCGGCGCTGCCTCGTCTTCCACCTCGTCAAGTGGCACCGGCTCGAGGCGGGCAACGTGCGCGACGCCTCCCGCACCTGGTGGAGGCAGTGCTTTGCGTCGGAAGAGCCCTTCGAGAACAAGGTGCCGACCAACGCGTACTACGACACGCGCAAGGAGGAGAGGAGGTGAGGGCGCGACGCGCCTCGCACCGGAGCCAACGCGGCACGACGGCATGCGCGGCAGAGAGGGCAGACCAGAACATGGCCATGCCGAGAGAGCCCGCTGCGGAGAGCGAGGGGAGCGGACCTCTCCTCTCCACCCTCTCGGGGCCTGGGAGCTCGTCGAGAATCGAGATGTGCACCACGGTCCACGCAGCCGTACAGGGAGCCGCGCAACCCGCGCCGCCGACGAGGCGTGCCCGTGTGTGTTGCTTCGATGCGAGCCCGAGGCCGGCGCGAGGCGGCGCGGGCGCCCGGGGGCCCGCGCACGCACATACACATACTGTAATTCGATTAATAATTGCAGCATGCAGTAAAAAAGATCTTCAAAGAGAGATGTACAATGAAGTGTGTGAGTCAAGATAGGCCAAACAGAGTCGTCCCTCTCACCCCGCTCAAAGCTGCACTTCGCGCGGCGTGATAACCCGGTCAATCATGCCGTACTCGAGTGCCTCCTGCGCCGAGAAGAAGTTGTCGCGGTCGAGGTCGAGCCGCACCTGGAGTGGGTACGCAGGGAGAGGGAGGGGGAGGGGTGAGAGCCTGTGGCGGCGCAGCGGGTGGCGGGCGGCAGCGCGAGGCGGCGGCGGCACCTTGTCCTTTGAGTTGCCCGTGAGGGTGGCGTAGTAGTCGACCACCTTCTCGCGGATGGCGAGGACGCGCTCCGCCTCCACCTTGATGTCCGACGCCTGCGCAAGGGGCGGGTGGGTCGGCCCCTCGCGGCTGCGCCCCCCTCCAAGCCGCCCCCCAGCGCGCCTGTCCTTGGATGGCCGACTGGCCTGTCCCTGGCTGGTGGATCATGGTGCGCGAGTGCTGCAGCGCGAGCCGCTTGCCCTTGGTGCCGCCCACCAGCAGGAGCGAGCCCATCGAGGCGGCGAGGCCGATATTGATCGTCGAGATGTCGCACTTGACGTGCCGCATCGTGTCGAAGATTGCAAAGCCTGACGTGACGGAGCCTCCCGGCGAGTTGATGTACATTGACATGGGCTTGCTCGCGTCCTCCGAGTCGAGGTAGAGCATGACACCGATGAGCTGGTTGGTCAGCTCGTCGTCGATCTGCTGGCCCAGAAAGAGGATCCGCTCGCGGTAGAGCCGGTTGTACAGGTCGACCCAGTCGGCGGTCATCGCGCCGGGTGCGCGGTACGCAACCTGCGCGGGGCGTCCGGAGCACGCCTCGGCGGAGGGGCTGGCGCGAGCCTGCGGCGTGCCGGCGGCGGGGCGCAGCCGGCGGGGCGCAGCCGCGGAATGCTAGGGGAGGAGTGCACCTTTGGCACCCCAATCGGCATCATGGGCGCCGCGCGCGCAGCACCCACTGTTGCCGCTGCGCGGCCGAGCGGATGCACCGCACGGAGGCCGTCGGTGCACGCCGCTGACAGCAGCAACAATATCAAGCGCATGCGAGGAGTGGGTCGGCGCAGGGATATCCTCGCTGCGCGCCCGACAGATGCCCTCGCTCTCGCGGCGGCGGCACGGAAATTTCTTTTTCTTCCTACTTTTTCCCAGTATCGGTCCAACGCACATTTTTGTTTTTCTTCTTTTTTCTTTTGCGAATTCGTACACGAAATTCCAAAGTTGGCCCCGGCAAATCCGGTCGCATCACACGCATGTGTGTATGCCGGCCTGTGACACTGTACAGCGCGCGCCCATGACTGACAGTGTTGTGGCGGCCAAGGCCGAAGCCCTCGCCGCTGGGTCGGCGGAGCGCTCAGAACTCGCGGCGTCCGAAACTGTCCGGTGGGACACGTCGGCAAGAGCAAACGCACGGCGCTGGCTTCAGTCCAAAGTGAGCAGCATTGAGACACTGGGGGCCTCCGTGGACGACTCCGAGGAGTCGCAGGACTGCAGCAGCCCCGGCCGAGGAGCTCCCCTCCTCGGTCTCCGCCAGATCATAGCGGAAGGCTCGGAACGCCTTGCGAGTCGCATCTCACCCCCCGGCCGCCGCGCCGCACGGCGGGCCAGAGCGCTCGAGCTTACGTGCACGCTTGTCAAGGACCGTGGCCCGCTGGGCTTGTCACTGCACAGCCTGCCCTGTGGCGGTGTTGCCGTCGGCTCCTCCGCCCGCTCTGCTGTTGTCCGACCTGGCGACACAATCACCGAGGTGAATGGTGTGCCGGTCATGAGTGTGGAGCAAGCTGCGGCCGCGCTGCACGCTGTGGCGCCCGGGGGCGACATTGTGATTGCCCTGATTCGCCTCGAGGGCACCAAGCGGCCGTCATCGGACCACTTGCGCGAGGACAGGATATGCTTGTAGGGAACGTGCATTGGTATCCAGAGGTGGCAGCCAGGACTGGGCTCAGGATGACGGCGGAGAGGTGGGCCCAGCCTGGCGAGGTACTTCCAGCCTGCTGTGGGAACAGCTGACGCAGTCTCGCCGAGTCTCGGGTTGACTCGGCCAGACAAAAACCCCGAGAGGCGTGGGAGTACCTCGCCAGGGCCCAGCGTGGCAGCGAGCGCACTCCCTGCGCGTGATAACTTGATGGTCGAGATATCTCTGTGCGGTACCTAAGCACGTTACGATCGAACAAATTTGCACGTTTTGCATTTACCAGTTTTCCTGCTAAAGAAAGAAAGAAAGAAAAGTCACACAACCCAAGGGAGGGATGGGAGAACGGCACGCCGCCACCACACAGGGATTTTAAGGAGAGGAGGGTGTGATGCGCTAGCCGTCACCCACCCTGGGGGGTCTGCCTCCTCGTATCTCTTTTCGCAGTCTCTCGCCGCTTCTCGCTGCAACCTTCATGCCACCTCGCGGCTGTCCCACTCTCGTCGTTCTCTCCCTTGTCACTTCCCCCTCTGTCGCGTCGTTCTCTTCTGCCTCGTCCTGCGACGCCGCCGCCTGCCAGTTTTCCTGCTAAAAAAAGAAAGAAAACAGGCAACCCAAGGGAGGGATGGGAGGACAGTTTTCCTGCTACCTGCAGTGAAACAGGGGTTCGTGTTTCTTCATACACCCTAACGCATCGCGGCTCTCCTCCAAAAGCGTGGTCTGGTTTGCGCAGTCGCACTCTCCCGAGTGGTTCGCGGCCTTCGCGCGATGGTGTCGGTCAATGGCGCGAACAGTGGGTTCGAGAACAAGTTTCGCGAGTTCCTCCAGGAGCCCGAGACGCAGGACGCCATCCGGAAGGATCAGGCAAAGGAGATCGCGGTGATGCGGAAGATGGAGGAGATGGAGAAGCTGGAGGAGCTGCAGGGCCAGCGGGAACAGCTTGCGGTGGCGCTGCAGGACCTGCCACCAGAGGCGCAGCGCGTCGTCTACCCCATCCTTCGGCTCAAGATGGTGCAAAACCTTCTCTTTGCGACGCTAAAGGAGACCCGCAAGGCAGGCACCTCCTTCGTGCACGCTGTGCGCGACCCCGCGCTGATGGGGATGCTGGAGCGGATGCGCGACGAGCTGCGCAACGATCCCGAGAACGCCAAGCGCATCGAGATGGAGTGGTTCCACAATGTCGGCATGTGCGCCGAGGACAAGGTCAAAAAGGCGCCCAAAAAGGAGCGCGGCGTGCTGCCCGCAACGCAGATGCTGCCCATCATCCAGTCGGGCGCGCAGCTGCGCGTGAACGGGAACCACAAGTTCCGGCAGGGCAAGTACAAGGAGGCGCTCGAGATGTACATGCAGGGCTGCGTCGGGTTTGAGCTCTACCAGGCCACAAACGCTCAGGACCAAAAGCTGCTCGACGAGGCGCGCTGATGCCGCCGTCGCCGCCGCCGTTGCGCGAGGTGCCGCCTGCCCCGCGCCGACGCGCTGCGCCCTGCCGCAGGTGCACGTCGCGGTGCGCAAGAATGTCGCCGCCGCCGCCATCAAGACGCGCGACTGGACCGTCTGTTTGCAGTCGTGCGACACGGTGCTCGGCATCTGCCCCGAGGACACAAAGTCGCTCTACCGCCGCGCGCTCGCCAACTGGCACCTGGGAGAGGTGGAGGTACGTCGCGCCGCCCGGGCTGGCCCTAGGGACGGGGGGGGGGGGCAGCACACCCTGGGCCCGGAGGCGCTGACGCCGTGCCCCTCTCCTTTCCACTCCTCTCCACTCCTCTGCCCTCCACTCCTCCGCCCCGCGCTTCCCACCCCTCCGCCCCACTCCTCTCCTCCACCCGACTCCGCCTCCTTCACCCACCGCCTCCAGGCAGCCACGACCGACTTGGAGTCGATCCTGCGCAGACCCGTCTCGGACTACTCTGCCCTGGCGGAGAGCAGCGAGGTGAAGAAGCTGGCGCGCTCGATGATCCGCCAGATCGAGGCGAGCGAGGAGCGCGCCGAGGCGATGGAGCAGCGCATGGCGCGCGCGCTGACGGCGACCATCCCTCAAGACGTGGACGAGCGGTACCAGGACGAGCCCGAGCTGGCGCTGGAGGACAACACGGAGGAGGAGCTGCCGCAGGCGCTGCGCGACGCGCTGCGCGCGAGGGAGAGAGCCCTGCTGGAGGAGAGCCTCGAGGAGGAGGGCTAGGCCGTGGTGTGGTGGCGTGGCCGGATTTCTTTCCGACCTTGCCGGGTTTTATTTTAAAGGCCCACTCCACGCCCCCTTTCGACTTTGAGCAAGTGTCGACACTTGGCCGCCGCTGCCTCCTGAGCACCCCCACGCCGGTTGGCGCTGCTCTCCGCCCACCAGCCGGCCACAGGCCGCCACCCTGGCCGGCCGGCGTCGAGAGAACGGCCAGACTCGACCGACCGGGTGTCGCGCCGCTGCCTGCGTCTCGCGCCGCTGTAGCAGCGCCAGCGGCTCGGCCGCGCATCCTTCACACACGCCGCCACGACCAAGCTGAGCGGGCCCAGTGTCGAGGTCTGGTGCGAGCTGCATGTGAGGGGCGGCTTTGGCCACAGCAGGTCCACCAGACGGATCTCAAAGCTTGCCGTCGGCGTGCTGTCGTGGCGAGAGCCGAGACCGCTGCAGAGGAGCCGAGTGCAGTGACGATCCAGAGGCTACCAGGGCCACCAAGTGGTAGCCCTTGCCCATTCTGATCAGGGCTGTGCTTTGGTGGGGTTGTGCTTGAGCATGTGTGAAGTGGGAGTGCGTGCCGGCGGTGTCTGTGGGTGAAACGGGCGTGAGTGAGGCCGTAAGAGCCGTGGTATGAGCCAGAGTGGGCTTCATCACCCAAAATAAGGACGGTTTGGGACAGCTCAGACTTGGTACTGATGAGCCTGGGCCAGGAGGGCGACAGAGAAGGCGAGGTGGTGAGCTGGGAAGCCGCTTCATCGGCACCTGGACGTGTCGCGATGAACTGCCGAAAAGTACTATTTGCGGCTATTGCTCAAAACTTCGGGAGACAAGGCCTACATATTATGACTGAATCCTTGCGCCTGGTGCATGAGGGCTGCGGGTCGGGACATTTCACGGTCGGTGGCGCCGGTGTTGGCCTCCGGAAAGCCCTCGCAATCGCCTCGGATGGGGTCCACCGGAGACAATCTCGAGCCCTCTCCGTGGCATCACGAGCCGGTGTGAGCTTGCAGACCCAAGGTAAGTGCGGTCTGGGACGGCTTAGGCTTGCTACTGATGGGCCTGGGCCAGGAGGGCGACAGAGAAGGCGAGATGGTGAGCTGAGACGCGGAGAGTCCTCGTGGTTACCCCATCAAATCGAAAACGGCATATGAGACTGTATTGGGGCTGACCAACTTCCGCGAGCGCTTTCTGAGTATCTGGTCGCGGCCAGCTGATCAGGGGTCGCGGACTAAGAGTTTTCTATCTCTGGACCCCCAGGGGATCGTGG